CTTCCCCGTGCCCATTGTTCCTTCCCGCCGCTCTCGCACGCTTTCTCAAGGGCATTTTGTTGCTGGCAGATTGAACGTTTTGGAAAGCGTCTCTGTATGGCCCTGCACACAATGCGAAGAGCCGCCTCTGCACCGCCACGCTGGGTGATTGTAACTCCCATGCTGTCATTTCTGTCACTATCCCACTGATCAGTGAGTGCGTGTCCCCATAAAGACGCACTCAAAACTTTCCGGAGTGTTCTGTGTTTTTCTTTTCCCCCCATGTACTACGGTCTCACCGACTTGTTTCCACACCGCTCCCCAAAGGCCTCGTGTTTGCACAGCCCCAAGGACACCCCAAGACGGGTGGCACTGGCGCGGGCGCCCACACCTCAGGCAGCTGGATGTGACTGGGAGCACAGGGACCAGCTGTGCTGGAGGAGCGCACACACACACACTGTGTGCGATCCCTGCCTTTGTACGGGGTGAGCAGAGTGAAGCAGCCACACGTGAACCCCAGCCCCGGCACTAATGAACGTGTTGTCCTGGCTGCCTGAATGCTCCCTGAAGCCTTAATTAGTGCTCCTGTTCTAATCTACTTGCTGGAGTTGATGCGCAATGTTAAGTACCTCTGTGTTCAACCAAAACAGTGGCTGCGAAACTGTGGAGGCTCAATGATCCCTTTCCTACCTCACAGAGAGGTTTTATGAGTTTAATCCATTGTTAAATCCTCAGAGGAATGAAGGTGTGGAAGAGAGGAGTATTAATGTAATTGTAATTGACTACCAGTGTCACAACATTAATTAAAAGCAAATAATTCAAATATCAGATCTCATGTAAGAAATATGTTTAAATATTTGCTTTACAGTTTACAAGAGGAAATAATTCCCCCAGGCATGCAAACGGAGATTTTTGCCTTTTCTACTGGTGCCTCACACTGCTTCACAATGTCCTGCTCACCTCCTGGTCTCCAGAAACCATCTTCTGTTAGCAAGACCCGTGAGACCCGTAGCCCCACGTAGGCAGTGCAGAGCAGAGGTGCCCTGTCTGACGGGGTCCCTGGGGTTTGCGATGCTGAAGGAAGCTCCATGCCCTGAGCGCGCTTGGAACTGGGGGGCTGCCGACAGCAGGCGGCCACTGCCTCAGCGTTGGTCCCCCTGGGTCTCCAGCCCTGCTTGCTCCCTGCTTGGCCGGCCTGGTCCACGCCAGAGTGCGGCTGCAGCTGGGGCGGCAGCTGGGGTTGGCATGTTTCAGAGGAGCAGGTACAGTGAGCTGCCTGCGATGGGGGTCCTGCTGCACCCTGTGCAGGAGATTTGCTTTCCTACCGCTCTGTCCTTCCTCCCGTTCAGAATTCACAATTGAGGGCTCGCTTCCTGCTCTGGAGGGGAACGCCCTCAACTCACAGCAAACGCACCCCGAGCTGAAGCTGCTTTAATTTGAACAGCAGCTGCAGCAGAAGCCTTGGAAGCCATTCTGTGCTTTTGAGGTTATAGCTGCTCCCTTTTCAGCCCGCACAGCTGAGCAGCTGCGATGGAGGAGGAGGAGAGGCCGCTGATTCATTTCCTTTCTTTTCTCTCCCTTTACCGGAGCTTTCCAGCAGCTCTCCCCGTGTTCCCAGCACGGTGGCTGTGCACAGCTGCTCACCGCTGGCTCTTTGGTATGCAAATGCGCAGAAAGTTCTCTTACACGTTTCTTTCTCTGCGCCATCCTCGCTGGCTGTATTGCACCGTTGTCCCCTAAAATCCCTTCGTTTGGAACACTGACCTTGCAGCACGGATGGTGGCATCACCCCGGCGCAGCAGCGAGGCTCTACACAGCCGCTCCCCCTCTGCAGAGACAGGGGAACCTTCACTAGACTGGCGGCAGGGGACTTGCCATCCTCCCACTAAGGGAAAAATCTGTTCATTGATAATGCATGACACTGCCAACGTACCCGTGTTGTATTTGGGGTCACCACTTGTTTTTGCTTTGCTGTCTGATAAACACCCGTGTCCCGAGAGCAGGGTGGGTGGGGAGGTGGGACCAGCACACGCAGGGCCACCGCAGGCTTACACCGAGAAGATCTGAGCAGCAAAGGAGCCGTGGTTTCTGGAAGTGTCAGAGAGATAAAATGTGAAACCTTCTTTGCCCAGGATCAAGTGAAATAGCAATAAACTAACAGAGGTGTCATTACCAGGAAATCTCTGCTTGGACAAGACCAGCTTCCAAGCAGGAGAACCTCAAAAGGGAACTGGCAGAAGCATTGCTCCTGGAGTAGCACTTGGACACTGGAAATCTGCCCTGAGAAAAGAGAGAGGTGCCCAGCAGGCCTTCTTCATTACGAATATCCAGGAGTCTTGAATTGCTCAGAAGGTACAGAAGGAAAATCCCCAATGACTGGAGGAGCTGGAGGACTGAGGCCTACGTGAGAAACATTAGGATATTAATTGTCCCACTACATCTTGTTTTTCTTCTTGTTAAGAGAGATACTAATAGTTTGGGTTACACAAGGAAGTTGTAAATAGAATGAATTACTCATTGCACATCAGGATGCAGGCTGAGAGCACAGTGCAGTGTGACTCGGGATCTGGTTAGTTTAGCGTCACTCACCCAGCACGAGCAGCTGGATTTGCTGCAGCCTTAGGCTGCATGCTGTGAGCTTTTCACCCAGGTATGATTTTCCTTTTAGTAGCTGGTGCAGTGCTGTGCTTGTTAGTGAGAATAATGTAGACAACACACTGATGTTGTGGTTATGTGTAAGTTGTGCTTATCCTAAGTCTGGGACTTTTACAGTTTCTCATGCTCTGCCAAAGAAACACAGGCTAGAAGATAGGGAGGCTAGAACCACCAGCAGCAGGTGCAGCTGGACAAGATAAGAACAGTTAACGGTCAGCCTGGAGGCAGAGGGAGAATCCCATGAGGTGTGAGAAGACCCCAGACCAGAAATCACCATTGGACCAGAAGGCACATGAAGAGTGCGTGAGGGGCGGATGCGCAGGCTGCACGGGTGTCATTGCCCAGGATTTTTTTTGTTTGGGGTCCCTCTCTGGAGGCACCCAGCTCGAGTTGCTTTACTGGCTGCACTATTTCAATACATTATTTAACTTCTTGATACCTGAGACTCTGCTACAGGAAACCTGGCATTTGAACCATGGGGATGACACCAGACACCTGGACAGCACAGATACTTTAGCACTTCTTTTTTTCCCAGGTCTGCTATTTGGAAAAAGCCGCAGTCCTCAAAAGAGCTCCCCCTTCACCTGGCTGAGGGATTTCTGCCTGTCAAAAGGAGCCCTCTACCCCGAGGAAAATGTTACACTTTCCTGCCATAACCAAGCCTGTGTAAGCTCTGACACAGAAACCTGTCTAGAGATTATGGGGCATTTTGAGATCCGCTATCCCTTAAACCGGTCAAGAGATTACCAGAAGAAGAGTTAAATCAATCTTCCAGTTAAAACTGAATACAGCCTCCTGACAAGTGTCTGAGCTCCGCCAGAGGCTGCAGTAAAACAAACTCCCCTGGAGTCATGGGGCGAAGGCAGCACAGGAGCTGGCACCTCGCGCATCCGACCTGGGGCGTGGGCTGCAACCCTGCAGCAACTTCACATCATGCCCAGCAGCTCTCAGATGACTTTTCGGGAACGTTCAGTGTTTTGCTCTTGGCAGCACCAACAACGACAGAAGTTACTGGTTCGCAGCATCCCTTGCAGTGCAAGACAGTGAAAAGGGAAAATAAGCAGAAGTATTAATGATGGCTGTGAAAATTTAACTTTTATTATCTGTTCACTGTATACAAAACACCATTCTGCATAGTGATAACTTATTTGTTGTACAGTTGACAGTGCACATCAACAAACAAGTGTTCAGGAGGTATACACTGAATGGGAAGGGCAGTGATGGCCAGTGCACGGCACACACGAAGGTCCTGCCATGCCAGCTGCACGTTTCAGCATGGAGAAGTACCTCATCACCACTCAATATGCGAGTAATATAAATGGAATAACAAGCATTTACCAACGAACCAAATGAAGAATGAGGATGAAGAGAGGAAGCAGAACTAATGTATCCGATACACAATTTCCAGAGCGATTAAGAAGGTTTACAGAGGTGGCTGAGAAGGATCCATATTTTTTCAAACACTTCAATTTTTAAAACTGTTAAAATTTAATGATAAATAACAGAATCTCACAAATCTTTAGGGGCAAAATGCTCCACATTTATTTACATATGAAATGTGTTTAATACAGTTGTAATGGACATAAGTGTATAGTAACATCTGACAGCAGCAAGACTTTTAAGGAACCGAACAATTACTACTGTATATCATGCAGCTATCTATATATACACAATTTGTTTTAAAAAAAAGTACAAAAATTCTTTTTAGGGATACATACAAGGTAAAAAATGCAGAAACAAACCAAAAATATAACTCTCACAGAGAACTATATATGAAAGGGACAGGATGGTACCTTTTTGTACTTAGTGAAAGCATAACTAGTGATATTAGATACAGGTTTGAAATGGCTGAACGAGCTTTGGACGGTCTGTGCTAAAGCTGAAAGCCCCAGTTACACTGACATAGGCTGGTGTGTTTGCGTCTCGACAGTCATGGGTTTATGTAACACTGAGCACCAGAACATTTGGCATTAGCATACAGAGCTGGGAAATACCAACCCCTGCAGCAAGGGTTAACTATTTTATTTTAATAACCAGAAATAAAGGAAAATACATAATGCTGTGTACTCGCTTCTATAAATGTTTAATAAATTACATGACAAAAAACATCATTATAAGCCTATTCCTCTAGTTACATCTTATTTGTTAAATCCAGAGCAGCCCAGCCCTTTTGTAACAATTTGAGCTTTGATCACAAGCACCTGATGGCCTGAAAAATCACTTCATGATTCAGAGATGTGCAATTACACTTTTTAAAAGTATGTTATCATTCCAGGGGGTCTGCGCTGTTTAGGTTACCACCTAAAACCAGCACTGCATTCCACATATGCAGTGGTACTTTTTTTAAATGCATATTTTAAAAGAGAAAGTTAAAAAGCTTCCTCAGACATTTAGAAGCACGAGTTCTTAGAATTTAAAATGTCCCCTTAGCTTGCTTCCCCTCCCCACTGCCCTCCAAGCACGGCTTCCTGATGCACTTCCATTAGCTAAACCTTCCTTCAGAAGCATTCAAACAAGAAACAGTTTAAGAGAACCTAAGGAACTGCCCCAGCATTCAGAACTCTGTTTTAAAGAAATTTACTAGAAAAAAAACCAGAAACAAAACAGAAAAAACCAAATTTTCCACTAGATACCGATACAAACACATAACAAAGAGTATAAAAGTTATTAGTTTAAATATATACAAACTCTCTTCAACTCAAACACTGCTTCAATGGTTCTGGGGGTACAATGAGGTGAAGGGGACGCTTTTATGCAGAACATACTGCAACAGCCTGAACAGTACTGTTAATGCTATTATACCTTGAACTTTCTGTAGCAAAAATGTCATTAGTATTCCAATGTGGAGAGAGATTTCTGTGTCCCCAGCAATCGGATCACTTCTCCGCTGAACTCATCCGTTTTGACTTGATGAAGGCCATGCCGTGTGTTCTCATGTGGGTGTTTAAGGCCGCTTCTGTTTCAAAAGTCTTTGCGCACACTTTGCATCTCCTGTCTGACGCCGTACTGTCAGACGATTCGTCCTCATGATTGGGTTTATTTTCTTGCTGATTATCCTCCCCAGACCCATTTTGTTTTGATACTGGCTGAGGCTCCTTCAGCTTATGTACAATGAAGAGATGTCTGGAGAGGGACACGTGGGATGTGTAGCAGAGTCCACATTCCCTGCACTGGTACGAAGAGCCGTCGGATTTATGCTGAGGAATATGTTCGTGAAACTGGAGAAGATTTTCTGTTGTAAAGCCACAAACAGCACACTTGTGAACTTTAAAAACATTTATCTTTAGCTTCTTCAAGGGCTGAGTGATTGCACCTCGTGGAGGCCTGAATTCCAGTACAGGTTCTTCCAATTTACGCTTTGGGCTAGGAACCTAAACAAAGCCAGAAATGGTATAACATGTAAGCATAAATGGGCAGTTCTTTTCGTAAAAATTTTGCCTTGCAAACTTCAAAAACCTTCCCTTGGCATATTCCAGTACCACTTTGATAAATGCAATATTTGAAGTAATACAAGCAAATATATGTTGTGCATGTTGGAAAACTAGGGGTTTTCTTTAATAGAATTGCACATAAATTTTTTTCTGTCAGCTCTGATAAAGCTACAGTATCTGATACACCGTATAAACTTGAATAAGTCTTTGCCAGTGTAACTGCATCCAAGTACACACACCCATGAGACTTCAGTTGCCTACATGATGTAGAGCATTAGCCTAGGAACTTCTCAGCTCTATCTTCTGGAAATCTGTTTTCATTACTTAATATTATTTCATGCCTGAAATTTTACTTGACAGATTATCTCCTGACTGTTACTAACCAAAATAACATATTGCCAAGGAAGGACTCAACATGCAAATTTTTAAAAACTAATTAAACTGCTCATTTTTTATATTCTCCTTGTTATTCTTCTGACATGAATACTCCTCAGGAATCCTCTGCATCCTATGTAGCTCAGATAGGCTCCATGATGTTTATGAAGCCAACGTCTATAGTGGCCATATTTTCAACACAAAAAAGAAGACAGTATGTTGGGCTGAAAGAAAGTAATGTAAGGGACAACAGTACATTTAAAAAACCAGGTGTGTTTGTGTCTCTGCTGTCAGCTTTGCACATGCAGTCACAGGTGAAATTCCTTATCACATAGAGACCAAAACACTTCAAAAATGTCAATCCCTGCATATAACGAGTCTTTCTGTGCTGCCACTGTATTTTTGCTTTCCTCCAAACACTCATCATCAATAAAGAAGAGGATAGATTGTCCAAATGCCTCCTAAATGCAACAGGCTTGGGGCCTCAACCATCTCTCTAGGAAGCCTGTCCCCAAGGACTTGGTTGCAGATGATTTGAAAGGTGCTCTTGAAGCAAACCACGAAGGAGTAAGTTACATTCTCCATCATTCGTGATCAAACCAAACAGAAAGTCTTTCCAAAAACATATTCTAGTTCAAGCATGACACAATTTGTTGCAGGAACTTCTGAGACATTTTTTGGGCTGTACTTCACAGAAGATCAGACTTTTATGGGACCAAAATACCTGCGTCTCTTTAAAGATCCTGAATGTATACCCCCCAAAAATTCTCTCAGTGACAGAAAGAACCTTCCAACTGATCACCTTTGTGTCTTCTTTTACTTCCCTTTCTTCCACATTGCTTGATTCAGTCATTTCTTTCACATCAGGATCCTTAATGCCATGCATCAACTGGATGTGTTTCTCCAACATCAACCGCTTGGTAAAAGTGCGTCTAGAATCTGGGCAGTGCCTACATAAACACACAGCAGACATGCACAGGGTCAAACATCACGCCTAACGAAAGACAGGACTCGTCAATAAATCCAGACCAGAGTACAATCTACTGAAGACAGAGACAATGTTTTTGCAATCAGTTGCACAGGTAAATATTAAAAGAAAATGAGCATAATTACAAAATAAAACTAGAAATGCTTGAGCAATTTATATTCAGAGCAAATGGGAAGGTGTCTGAAGATAATATCCAAAATGGTATAAAGTACGAGTCAGAAAAAAAACCTGGGAGCATCCAAGTGTGCTTCTTGGATCCCTGCTAACATCCCCAAATTGTACACTCCATGAGACACTTTCCCAAGTTCTCCTTGATTTAAATCTCGTGGGGAAAGCAATCACCTTCCATGCAGGATGAATGCTAGCTCCAAATGACACTGAATTCTGCATTCAAATCCAAATACTTTCTCTCTCTGGAACTAGGAATTTCTTCTCAGCTCCTTTCTACCCTCAAACCAACCAGCAGAACAAACTTGTCTTTCACACTCTGTGCTTTCTCCAGCTGCATCACTTCTAAACGCCTCCTGTGCTTTTGGGCAGTGTGTTTCTGAGCTCCAATGTTGTAACACACTGTACAGGTGTCTCCAGGAGGGATGGCCAAAACAAGAACTGCAGGGGAGAAGTTAAACTGTCATACTCTCTTTCTGAGTCCCTCTCCTAAGGGTTTAACTTTTTAAATGCTGTTTCATTTAACTTTATTAAAAAAAAAAAAAAAAGACAGTACTGTAGGCATTCTGAAACAAACAGAAAACTACAACATGCTTTCTGCTCAAAGAGTTTGCAAAAACCAGGTACTTGCTGCTTATACACCAAGAGGAACAGTGTCCAGGCCAGCCAGCTCACCGAGGCCGACGTACAAACCAAGGGTATGTTAGAAACAACTTGAGGCACGGGTTGTGTCAGGCAGCCGTGGTGCAGGGAGACAGGAGGCTATACAGCCCTCCGTTGGAGTGCTATGCTACACACGGCAGCCTCACGTTTCCACACCGCAGGGCCTTGTGCCTTCCGTAACAAAGCAGAGACCCTGCCGCGGCAGAGAGGGGACTGGTCACATCTCAGCCACAGAGAGCGGCTGCTGCTTGCAGCTTCCTTCCCAGAAATTCAAACTCAGTCCCACAGCATGCAAATACATACAAAACTATGAATGAAGAGAAAGAACAGAAAGTTTGTATTCTATATCTTACATGATTATTAAATTATGTATGGTCTCTCCAGCCACTTAAACATCACTGAGGATTTTTAGACATTAGACACTGTTTTATGCATGCGAAAAATATTACAAATACTGCCTTTGGTAGATTGGAAGAGTGGGTTCTGTGTTTGAGAGCCTATTGAAAACCAGGTTCATCACCATAGAACTATCGGCCCTGTAAACTCTGCTCAGTAAAGTTTTGGATGTGCTTGCCCAAGCCTGTGAAAGGCAGCAGACGTTACATATGTGTGTTCTCAGCAGCCTGCTGTGTTTTATGCGTGCTGGACAGCCTGAACAGTTTGGCCAGTGTGTGTATTGAAACAACTGGTTCACTTGCAGGAATGGGACACTGGCTTTATACAACCCAGAAAAGAAATTCAACCAGCAGCACTTTTTGTTAGTTTATAGTCTGTTTCTAAATACATAAAAGTAGAACTTACGAGCACGTATACACCTTCCTAATGCCTTTGTGCTTGATACGGTTGTGACGACACAAACTATGGGATGAACTGAAGGATTTGTCACACTGTCGACATGGATGTTTCTTCATTTGCTTTAAAAAAAGAAGAAAAAAAATGAATTAGAAAAGATCAGTAAAAGTAGTGCATGTATCAAACCTTTTGATAAGAGGAAAGAAAGATCACTTCGTGGCACCTGGTACCGCATGCCCAAGCACACACCCCTCTGCAGCAGCACAGCTCCCAAAGCACTGCGGCCAGCACGAGCAACACACATCCATCACTGGCTGTGGACCGGCGGCAGACTGTGGGTGACATGGATGTCCTCCACCAAAGCAGCAGGGAGGATCAGGGGGTGACGTCTGGATCAGTAAAGGCAGTAGGTGGGAGATTTGCTGTCACTGTAAAGGAACCTGTCCCTTCCCCTCACCAAACCACATCAGCAGCTGCTGACCCAGGGAGCACAGCAGTCGTGTACACGGACGCCAAGGAAGGAAGCTGAAAAGGATGGAGTGGTCTCCATCTGTGTCATCCCAGCTGAACACGGCCACAGCAGCTATAGTGTCTGAAGAAATAAAACCTCCAAAACTGCCGACTGTACAAGCCCCAAGGATGAATGATGTGGTCCTGTCCCTTAAATTCCATCAGTCCCGGAACTCTGTTCAAACAGCACATCTTATCAACCAGAGTGGCTGCAGTAAGGAAACAGAAATATTGCCCATCGGATTTCCCGCCTCCTTTCACAGGTAACCAGACTGTTCATACCGGTAATTTCTGCTGTTTTGGCAGTAACAAGGAAACGGAAACATAATCTTGGAAATTAGATCCAAATACTGATCACACAAATCTGATTTAAGACCTTTCCAGATTATTTTTTCAGTTTACTTTTCAACAATCCAGCCAGGGCCAGGATCATTCAGTATCGTGATTCCTGCCAGAATCAAGGTGTCCTGGGTCTGAAGAAGAAATGGATTTTACTGGTACCTCCCAAAAGAAATCCAGATTGCGCGGACACAGATTCCAACTGTTCCAGTCTGAGGGAGGGCTCATGCCTGCTCGTCAGGTAAAAGTGAAGGAACAGACAGTCTAATACCATCAGTCAGGTATTTAGAAGGAAAATCACGTTCCTTCGATCGCTTTTTCCTGCTCTAGCAGTGATCACAGTTTTCCTTCATAGTGTCAGTAACATTCTCTCTCCTGCATTTACTGGGAAACTGAAAAAACCAAATCACATCATATTATTCTGCTATTCCAGCTGAGGCCACTGAGCGAAAGACTTGGATCAACACTTGAGATTGGGCCCTTGTTGACTCTTCTGGAGATTCCACCCAAGACCTGTCCCTGTTTGCTGATGACACCAAACTGAGCGGG